AGTGGTGAGGTGTTCCACAAGAGCACAGTATGACCTAATTCCGACAAAACAGCAGCCACACCGGGTGTTAATCAGAATCATCATGGCTTCCGGGCTTCGGGTTTCTGCGGCTGCGACCTAGTGCTACTGTTCTTGGTTATGATGTGGCCTCTCGATCTACCAGAGCGATAACAAGTAGCTTCCACAAATGCCAGTAAACAAGCTAGCCCGTCCCGATGTCCTTGTGGGATCTAGCCCTTCCCCGCAGTCCTTTTTCTTTCTCTCCTGAATATGCTTTCATCTTCAAGTAATCGAACTAGCCCGTCGCGAAGTCCTGTTGTGATCTAGCCCTTCGCATAGTCCTCCTTCTTTCTCACCTGAATAAGCGTTCTCGCCCTGCAGGAAGTCGTCGTTCATTGCCGCGACGACGACAGCGTTGTGTGCAAATCGAAACAAGAGGTTCGTCATGTGTGTTATAAGAAGCTTATTCTCCCAACAAAAGCAAACAAAATCTGCTCAAGACTAGGTCACCCCAAGACTGCATCACCCCAAGATTGGATCACCTCAAGAGCTGGGTCACCTCAGGACTGGGTGTGCCAGAACTGAGTCACCCCAGCTTCGAGTCACTCCAGACGTGAGTCACTGCAGTCTCGGGTCACCCCAGACTTGTGTTCTGCGGCCAGGTGGCACCCAGAGCAAACTAGCCCGTCGCGAAGTCCTATTGTGATCTAGCCGTCCGCATAGTCCTCCGTCTTTCTCCCCTGGATAAGCGTTCTCGCCCTGCGGAAAGTCGTCGTTCTTTGCCGCGACGATGACAGCGTTGTGTCCAATTCGCAACAAATGTTTCGTTTTTGCCGGTTGGGTGTACTAATGAATCTAATTCTCACACCAAAGCAAAGCAAAATCTGCTCAAGACTAGGGCACCCCAGACTTGTGTTCTGCGGCCAGGTGGCTTCCAGAAGCAAGCAAACTAGCCCGTCGCGAATCGCCAAGTCCTGTTGTGATCTAGCCCTCCGCATAGTCCTCCTTCTTTCTCCCCTGGATAAGCATTCTCGCCCTGCGGAAAGTCGTCGTTCTTTGCCGCGACGATGACAAAGTTGTGTCCAATTCGAAACAAATGGGTATGCTCCAACATTCAAAGCAAAGCCCAGCAAAAACTGCTCAAGATTAGGTTACCCCAAGCTTGTGTTCTGCGGCCAGGTGGCGCCCAGAGCAAACTAGCCCGTCGCGAAGCCCTGTTGTGATCTAGCCCTCCGCGTAGTCCTCCTTCTTTCTCCCCAGGATAAGTGAACTTGCTCTTCAGCAGGTCCTCCTTCTTTGTCCCCAGGATAAGCGAACTGGCTCTCCGGCAGGTCCTCCTTCTTTGTCCCAGGATAAGCGATCTGGCTCTCCAGCAGGTCCTCCTTTGTCCCCAGGATAAGCGAAGTGGCTCTCCAGCAGGTCCTCCTTCTTTGTCCCTCAGGGTAAGCGCAGTGGCTCTCCAGCAAATCCTCCTTCTTTGTCCCCAGGATAAGCGAACTGGCTCTCCGGCAGGTCCTCCTTCTTTGTTATTAGGATAAGCGAACTTGCTTTTTTTAATTTGTCACCAGGATAAGCGAACTGGCTCTCCGGCAGGTCCTCCTTCTTTGTCCCCAGGATGATAAGCGAAGTGGCTCTCCAGCAGGTCCTCCTTCTTTGTCCCCAGGATAAGCGATCCGGCTCTCCAGCAGGTCCTCCTTCTTTGTCCCCAGGATAAGCGAAGTGGCTCTCCCGGCAGGTCCTCCTTCTTTGTCCCCAGGATAAGCGAAGTGGCTCTCCGGCAGGTCATCCTTCTTTGTGGCTTCCAGAAGCAAGCAAACTAGCCCGTCGCGAATCGCGAAGTCCTGTTGTGATCTAGCCCTCCGCATAGTCCTCCTTCTTTCTCCCCTGGATATGATAAGCATTCTCGCCCTGCGGGAAGTCGTCGTTCTTTGCCGCGACGATGACAGTGTCGTGTGCAAGTCAAAACGAATGGTTCGTCTCTGCCCGTTGGGTGTACTAAGAAGCAATTTCTCACAACAAAACCAAGCAAAATCTGTTCAAGACTAGGTCACCCCAAGACTGCATCACCCCAAGACTGGATCACCTCAGGAGCTGGGTCACCTCAGGACTGGGTGTGCCAGACCTGAGTCACCCCAGCATCGAGTCACTCCAGACGTGAGTCACTGCAGTCTCGGGTCACCCCAGACTTGTGTTCTGCGGCCAGGTGGCGCCCAGAGCAAACTAGCCCGTCGTGAAGTCCTGTTGTGATCTAGCCCTCCGCATAGTCCTCCTTCTTTCTCCCCTGGATAAGCGTTCTTGCCCTGCGGAAAGTCGTCGTTCTTTGCCGCGACGATGGCAGCGTTGTGTCCAATTCGCAACAAATGTTTCGTCTTTGCCGGTTGGGTGTACTAATAAATCTAATTCTCACACCAAAACAAATCAAAATCTGCTCAAGACTAGGGCACCCCAGACTTGTGTTCTGCGGCCGGGTGGCTTCCAGAAGCATGCAAACAAACTAGCCCGTCGCGAATCGCGAAGTCCTGTTGTGATCTAGCCCTCCACATAGTCATCCTTCTTTCTCCACTGGATATGATCAGCATTCTCGCCCTGCGGGAAGTCGTCGTTCTTTGCCGCGACGATGACAGCGTCGTGTGCAAGTCAAAACGAATGGTCCGTCTCTGCCCGTTGGGTGTACTAAGAAGCAATTTCTCACAACAAAACCAAGCAAAATCTGTTCAAGACTAGGTCACCCCAAGACTGCATCACCCCAAGACTGGATCACCTCAGGAGCTGGGTCACCTCAGGACTGGGTGTGCCAGACCTGAGTCACCCCAGCGTTGAGTCACTCCAGACGTGAGTCACTGCAGTCTCGGGTCACCCCAGACTTGTGTTCTGCGGCCAGGTGGCGCCCAGAGCAAACTAGCCCGTCATGAAGTCCTGTTGTGATCTAGCCCTCCGCATAGTCCTCCTTCTTTCTCCCCTGGATAAGCGTTCTTGCCCTGCGGAAAGTCGTCGTTCTTTGCCGCGATGGCAGCGTTGTGTCCAATTCGCAACAAATGCTTCGTCTTTGCCGGTTGGGTGTACTAATAATAAATCTAATTCTCACACCAAAACAATTCAAAATCTGCTCAAGACTAGGGCACCCCAGACTTGTGTTCTGCGGCCAGGTGGCTGCCAGAAGCATGCAAGCAAACTAGCTGTTCTAGCCCTCCACGTAGTCCTCCTTCTTTCTCCCCTGGATAAGCGTTCTCGCCCTGCGGCAGTCGTCTTTCTTTGCCGCGACGATGACAGCGTCATGCGCAAGTCAAAACGAATGGTTCGGCTTTGCCCGTTGGGTGTGCTAAGAAGCAATTTCTCACAACAAAACCGAGCAAAATCTGTTCAAGACTAGGTCACCCCAAGACTGCATCACCACAAGACTGGATCACCTCAGGAGCTGGGTCACCTCAGGACTGGGTGTGCCAGACCTGAGTCACCCCAGGTTTGAGTCACTCCAGACGTGAGTCACTGCAGTCTCGGGTCACCCCAGACTTGTGTTCTGCGGCCAGGTGGCGCCCAGAGCAAACTAGCCCGTCATGAAGTCCTGTTGTGATCTAGCCCTCCGCATAGTCCTCCGTCTTTCTCCCCTGGATAAGCGTTCTTGCCCTGCGGAAAGTCGTCGCTCTTTGCCGCGACGATGACAGCGTTGTGTCCAATTCGCAACAAATGTTTCGTCTTTGCCGGTTGGGTGTACTAATGAATCTAATTCTCACACCAAAGCAAAGCAAAATCTGCTCAAGACTAGGGCACCCCAGACTTGTGTTCTGCGGCCAGGTGGCTTCCAGAAGCAAGCAAACTAGCCCGTCGCGAATCGCCAAGTCCTGTTGTGATCTAGCCCTCCGCATAGTCCTCCTTCTTTCTCCCCTGGATAAGCATTCTCGCCCTGCGGAAAGTCGTCGTTCTTTGCCGCGACGATGACAAAGTTGTGTCCAATTCGAAACAAATGGGTATGCTCCAACATTCAAAGCAAAGCCCAGCAAAAACTGCTCAAGATTAGGTTACCCCAAGCTTGTGTTCTGCGGCCAGGTGGCGCCCAGAGCAAACTAGCCCGTCGCGAAGCCCTGTTGTGATCTAGCCCTCCGCGTAGTCCTCCTTCTTTCTCCCCAGGATAAGTGAACTTGCTCTTCAGCACGTCCTCCTTCTTTGTCCCCAGGATAAGCGAACTGGCTCTCCGGCAGGTCCTCCTTCTTTGTCCCAGGATAAGCGATCTGGCTCTCCAGCAGGTCCTCCTTTGTCCCCAGGATAAGCGAAGTGGCTCTCCAGCAGGTCCTCCTTCTTTGTCCCTCAGGGTAAGCGCAGTGGCTCTCCAGCAAATCCTCCTTCTTTGTCCCCAGGATAAGCGAAGTGGCTCTCCGGCAGGTCCTCCTTCTCTGTTATTAGGATAAGCGAACTTGCTTTTTTTTAATTTGTCACCAGGATAAGCGAACTGGCTCTCCGGCAGGTCCTCCTTCTTTGTCCCCAGGATGATAAGCGAAGTGGCTCTCCAGCAGGTCCTCCTTCTTTGTCCCCAGGATAAGCGATCCGGCTCTCCAGCAGGTCCTCCTTCTTTGTCCCCAGGATAAGCGAAGTGGCTCTCCCGGCAGGTCCTCCTTCTTTGTCCCCAGGATAAGCGAAGTGGCTCTCCAGCAGGTCCTCCTTCTTTGTTCCCAAGATAAGCGAAGTGGCTCTCCAGCAGGTCCTCCTTCTTTGTGCCCAGGATACGCGAGAGCTCTCCAGCAGGTCCTCCTTCTTTGTCACCAGGATGAGCGAAGTGGCTCTCCAGCAGGTCCTCCTTCTTTGTCCCCAGGATAAGCGATTTGGCTCTCCAGCAGGTCCTCCTCCTTTGTCCCCAGGATAAGCGAAGTGGCTCTCCAGCAGGTCCTCCTTCTTTGTCCCCAGGATAAGCGAAGTAGCTCTCTAGCAGGTCCTCCTTCTTTGCTGCCAGGATAAGCGAAGTGGCTCTCCAGCAGGTCCTTCTTCTTTGTCCCCGGCTCTCCGGCAGGTTATCCTTCTTTGTCCCAGTACAAGCGAAGTGGCTCTCCCGGCAGGTCCTCCTTCTTTGAACCCAGGATAAACAAACTGGCTCTCCGCACAATGGAATTGGCTCCGGCAAGTCCTCCTTCTTTGAACCCAGGATAAGCGAACTGGCTCTCCGGCAGGTCCTCCTTCTTTGTCCCCAGGATAAGCGAACTGGCTCTCTGCACAAGCGAACTGGCTCTCCGGCAGGTCCTCCTTCTTTGTCGCCAAAATAAGCGAACTGGCTCTCCGCACAAGCGAACTGGCTCTCCGGCAGGTCCTCCTTCTTTGAACCCAGGATAAGCGAACTGGCTCTCCGCACAAGCGAACTGGCTCTCCGGCAGGTCCTCCTTCTTTGTCCCCAAAATAAGCGAACTGGCTCTCCGCACAAGCGAACTGGCTCTCCGGCAGGTCCTCCTTCTTTGAACCCAGGATAAGCAAATTTGCTCTCCGCACAAGCGAAATGGCTCTCCGGCAAGTCCTCCTTCTTTGTCCCCAGGATAAGCGAACTGGCTCTCCGCACAAGCGAACTGGCTCTCCGGCAGGTCCTCCTTCTTTGTCCCCAGATAAGCGAACTGGCTCTCCGGCAGGTCCTCCTTCTTTGTCCCCAGGATAAGCGAACTGGCTCTCCGCACAAGCGAACTGGCTCTCCCGCAGGTCCTTCTTCTTTGTCCCCAAAATAAGCGAACTGGCTCTCCGCACAAGCGAACTGGCTCTCCGGCAGGTCCTCCTTCTTTGAACCCAGGATAAGCAAACTGGCTCTCCGCACAAGCGAATTTGCTTTCCGGCAAGTCCTCCTTCTTTGTTCCCAGGATAAGCGAACTGGCTCTCCGCACAAGCGAACTGGCTCTCCGGCAGGTCCTCCTTCTTTGTCCCCAGGATAAGCGAACTGGCTCTCCGCACAAGCGAACTGGCTCTCCGGCAAGTCCTCCCCCAGGATAAGCGAACTGGCTTTGTCCTCAGGATAAGCGAACTGGCTCTCCGGCAGGTCCTCCTTCTTTGTCCCAGGATAAGCGAACTGGCTCTCCGCACAAGCGAACTGGCTCTCCGGCAGGTCTTCCTTCTTTGTCACCAAAATAAGCGAACTGGCTCTCCGCACAAGCGAACTGGCTCTCCGGCAGGTCCTCCTTCTTTGAACCCAGGATAAGCAAACTGGCTCTCCGCACAAGCGAATTGGCTCTCCGGCAAATCCTCCTCCTTCTTTGTCCCCAGGATAAGCGAACTGGCTCTCCGCACAAGCGAACTGGCTCTCCGGCAAGTCCTCCTTCTTTGTCCCCAGGATAAGCGAACTGGCTCTCCGGCAGGTCCTCCTTCTTTGTCCCCAGATAAGCGAACTGGCTCTCCGGCAGGTCCTCCTTCTTTGTCCGCAGGATAAGCGAACTGGCTCTCCGCACAAGCGAACTAGCTCTCCGGCAGGTCCTCCTTCTTTGCACCCAAAATAAGCGAACTGGCTTTCCGCACAAGCGAACTGGCTCCCCGGCAGGTCCTCCTTCTTTGAACCCAGGATAAGCAAACTGGCTCTCCGCACAAGCGAATTGGCTCTCCGGCAGGTCCTCCTTCTTTGTCCCCAGGATAAGCGAACTGGTTCTCCGCACAAGCGAACTGGCTCTCCGGCAGGTCCTCCTTCTTTGTCCCCAGGATAAGCGAACTGGCTCTCCGCACAAGCGAACTGGCTCTCCGGCAAGTCCTCCTTCTTTGTCCCCAGGATGAGCGAACTGGCTCTCCGCACAAGCGAACTGGCTCTCCGGCAGGTCCTCCTTCTGTGTCCCCAGATAAGCGAACTGGCTCTCCGGCAGGTCCTCCTTCTTTGTCCCCAGAATAAGCGAACTGGCTCTCCGCACAAGCGAACTGGCTCTCCGGCATTTCCTCCTTCTTTGTCCTCAAAATAAGCGAACTCGCTCTCCGCACAAGCGAACTGGCTCTCCGGCAGGTCCTCCTTCTTTGAACCCAGGATATAAGCAAACTGGCTCTCCGCACAAGCGAATTGGCTCTCCGGCAAGTCCTCCTTCTTTGTCCCCAGGATAAGCGAACTGGCTCTCCACACAAGCGAACTGGCAGGTCCTCCTTCTTTGTCGCCAGGATAAGCGAACTGGCTCTCCGCACAAGCCAACTGGCTCTCCGGCAAGTCCTCCTTCTTTGTCACCAGGATAAGCGAACCGGCTTCCCGCACAAGCGAACTGGCTCTCCGGCAGGTCCTCCTTCTTTGAACCCAGGATAAGCAAACTGGCTCTCCGGCAGGTCCTCCTTCTTTGTCCCCAGGATAAGCGAACTGGCTCTCCGCACAAGCGAACTGGCTCTCCGGCAGGTCTTCCTTCTTTGTCCCCAGGATAAGCGAACTCGCTCTCCGCGCACGAACTGGCACTCCGGCAAGTTCTCCTTCTTTGTCCTGAGGACACAGGATAAGTGAATATTTGGCTCTCCACCCCAGCGAACTGGCTCTCCGGCAGGTCCTCCTTCTTTGTCCCCAGGATAAGCGAACTGGCTCTCCGCACAAGCGAACTGGCTCTCCGGCAGGTCCTCCTTCTTTGAACCCAGGATAAGCAAACTGGCTCTCCGCACAAGCGAATTGGCTCTCCGGCAAGTCCTCCTTCTTTGTCACCAAAAAAAGCGAACTAGCTCTCCGTACAAGCGAACTGGCTCTCCGGCAAGTCCTCCTTCTTTGTCCCCAGGATAAGCAAACTGGCTTTCCGCACAAGCGAATTGGCTCTCCGGCAAGTCCTCCTTCTTTGTCACCAGGATAAGCGAACTGGCTCTCCGCACAAGCGAACTGGCTCTCCGGCAGGTCCTAAGCGAACTGGCTCTCCGGCAAGTCCTCCTTCTTTGTCCCCAGGATAAGCGAACTGGCTCTCCGCACAAGCGAACTGGCTCTCCGGCAGGTCCTCCTTCTTTGTCCCCAGATAAGCGAACTGGCTCTCCGGCAGGTCCTCCTTCTTTGTCCCCAGGATAAGCGAACTGGCTTTCCGCACAAGCGAACTGGCTCTCCGGCAGGTCCTCCTTCTTTGTCCCCAAAATAAGCGAACTGGCTCTCCGCACAAGCGAACTGGCTCTCCGGCAGGTCCTCCTTCTTTGAACCCAGGATAAGCAAACTGGCTTTCCGCACAAGCGAATTGGCTCTCCGGCAAGTCCTCCTTCTTTGTCCCCAGGATAAGCGAACTGGCTTTCCGCACAAGCGAACTGGCTCTCCGGCAGGTCCTCTTTCTTTGTCCCCAGGATAAGCGAACTGGCTCTCCGCACAAGCGAACTGGCTCTCCGGCAGGTCCTCCTTCTTTGCCCCCAGGATAAGCGAACTGGCTTTCCGCACAAGCGAACTGGCTCTCCGGCAGGTCCTCCTTCTTTGTCCCCAGATAAGCGAACTGGCTCTGCAGCAGGTCCTCCTTTTTAAATTTGTCCCCAGGATAAGCGAACTGGCTCTCCGCACAAGCGAACTGGCTCTCCGGCAAGTCCTCCTTCTTTGTCCCCAAAATATGCGAACTGGCTCTCCGCACAAGCGAACTGGCTCTCCGGCAGGTCCTCCTTCTTTGAACCCAGGATAAGCAAATTGGCTCTCCGCACAAGCGAATTGGCTCTTCGGCAAGTCCTCCTTCTTTGTCCCCAGGATAAGCGAACTGGCTCTCCGCACAAGCGAACTGGCTCTCCGGCAGGTCCTCCTTCTTTGTCCCCAGGATAAGTGAACGGGCTTTCCGGCAAGTCCTCCTTCTTTGTCCCCAGGATAAGCGAACTGGCTCTCCGCACAAGCGAACTGGCTCTCCGGCAGGTCCTCCTTCTTTGTCCCCAGATAAGCGAACTGGCTCTCCGGCAGGTCCTCCTTCTTTGTCCCCAGGAGAAGCAAACTGGCTCTCCGCACAAGCGAACTGGCTCTCCGGCATGTCCTCCTTCTTTGTCACCAAAATATGCGAACTGGCTCTCCGCACAAGCGAACTGGCTCTCCGGCAGGTCCTCCTTCTTTGAACCCAGGATAAGCAAACTGGCTCTCCGCACAATAAGCGAATTGGCTCTCCGGCAAGTCCTCCTTCTTTGTCCCCAGGATAAGCGAACTGGTTCTCCGCACAAGCGAACTGGCTCTCCGGCAGGTCCTCCTTCTTTGTCCCCAGGATAAGCGAACTGGTTCTCCGCACAAGCGAACTGGCTCTCCGGCAAGTCCTCCTTCTTTGTCCCCAGGATAGGTGAATTGGCTCTCCGCACAAGCGAACTGGCTCTCCGGCAGGTCCTCCTTCTTTGTCCCCAGATAAGCGAACTGGCTCTCCGGCAGGTCCTCCTTCTTTGTCCCCAGGATAAGCGAACTGGCTCTCCGCACAAGCGAACTGGCTCTCCGGCAGGTCCTCCTTCTTTGTCCCCAAAAAAAGCGAACTGGCTCTCCGCACAAGCGAACTAGCTCTCCTCCTTCTTTGAACCCAGGATAAGCAAACTGGCTCTCCGCACAATAAGCGAATTGGCTCTCCGGCAAGTCCTCCTTCTTTGTCCCCAGGATAAGCGAACTGGCTCTCCGCACAAGCGAACTGGCTCTCCGGCAGGTCCTCCTTCTTTGTCCCCAGGATAGGCGAACTGGCTCTCCGCGCAAGCGAAATGGCTCTCCGGCAAGTCCTCCTTCTTTGTCACCAGGATAAGCGAACTGGCTCTCCGCACAAGCGAACTGGCTCTCCGGCAGGTCCTCCTTCTTTGTCCCCAGGATAAGCGAACTGGCTCTCCGGCAGGTCCTCCTTCTTTGTCCCCAGGAGAAGCAAACTGGCTCTCCGCACAAGCGAACTGGCTCTCCGGCAGGTCCTCCTTCTTTGTCCCCAAAATAAGCGAACTGGCTCTCCGCACAAACGAACTGGCTCTCCGGCAGGTCCTCCTTCTTTGTCCCCAAAATAAGCGAACTGGCTCTCCGCACAAGCGAATTGGCTCTCCGGCAAGTCCTCCTTCTTTGTCCCCAGGATAAGCGAACTGGCTTTCCGCACAAGCGAACTGGCTCTCCGGCAAGTCCTCCTTCTTTGTCCCCAGGATAAGCGAACTGGTTCTCCGCACAAGCGAACTGGCTCTCCGGCAAGTCCTCCTTCTTTGTCCCCAGGATAAGTGAATTGGCTCTCCGCACAAGCGAACTGGCTCTCCGGC